GATGCTCAATACTAGGAGGCTGTGTGCTGCCCAGCCTCAGATCAGAGGTCATGCATGCACGAGTGCCCAGAGACCATGGTAAGTTGGTTGGGAAGGCCCTGGACCAGGCAGCCAAATTTCTGGGAGGCCCTGTTCCTACTTGCTCCGCAGGGGCAGGTGGGCTATTGGATGCTGGTCACAGGCAGCTTGCCTCCCCTGTCTCCTTCCCAAGGTGGGATGGGCCTGGCTTCTGGCAGCACCTGCTACCACAGTTCCAAAGCCATTCCCCTCCTTCTCCTACTGCAGGCTAGCCTGTCTCCTGTGCTGCCACAAAGCTCATGGCACCTAGGCGTGGGGATCCCAGATAACTGGGAGCTGGTTGTGCCCTCCTCTCCCACCAGGGGCCTCTCCAGAGAGGAACCCCCAGGCCAGCACCCCATGCACCCGTGCCGCACGTCAAGCATGCCCCTGCTGAAAATGTCCTGGGTGCACCATTTGGAGTTGTTTGCATGGACTGAGGGGTGTCCAACCCACTATGCCCTGCTGCTAATCAACGCAATGGTGCCCTGGGTGCACCTGTGAACCTGGCACAGGGTCCTGAGCTTCAGTGGTGGAGAGGGCAAGCCCATGCTGCTCCACAACATCCACCACTGCCTGAAGAGCTACCTGTGGCAGCACTACATGTCCCAGCCCCCACAGTCGAGGGCAACATAGCCACTGGCATCAATACATTCCTCAGATGCAAGAGGCCCATGCCCACCTAGCTGAGGGGGCAACAGGCTACTTAACAGAGTTTAGCACTGGCTCTCACCTCCCTGAATGCTGTAGTGGGGGGGGGAGGTTGGTCCAGGGGCCAGGGAAAGCATAGGCAGGCCAAGCAGGGAGAGAGAGGGGCAGGGGTAGGCATGGGGATTGGGGCAGGGGTTGGGCAGCATTACTAGATGAGTGTGGCAGGCACGTCCAGCAGCTTGAGTCAATCCCCACTGGTGGTGAAGAAGTGCTGCTCCTGCAGGTGTCCTGGGGCATAGGGGCACAGCATCTAGCTGCCTGAGCAGAGGCTCCCTCTGGAGAGAAGCTGCAGCTGCTGAGGCCCAGAAGTTCCATGGCTGGCTGCATCCTGAGCAGGGCTGCACACCCAGAACTGGTGGGGCAGGTGCTGGCCTGGGCTCCTGGAGCTTCTGGACCAGGCAAGGGGTGGGGAATGTACCAAGATGGGCTCTTGGTGGCCCAAGGGGCCCTCCTCTGGTGACATGTCACCACATGTGCCAGACCACAGTGGAGGCATGGCACTGTACATGGCACAGCAGCAGCCAGGATCCCAGGGTGCAAGGATCTGATCCAGCTGCTGTATAAGGAGCATGGATGTGCAGGCAGTCCCTGGCCAGTGGCTGTGGTCAGTGACGTTAACCCACTGTGTGCTCAAGGCCTTGACATTTATGTGGCACTTGTGCACTGACTGGTCATACCTGTGCTTCCAATATGCAGCCTGGTGGCTCCTCATAGATACGTGTGTTGGAGTGCACACTCCACACAAACTGCCTAAGGACCTTGGCCTTGCCCCACAGTGCCATGACTCAAGACTGTGGTCTCCTCCTGGGACCCACTGTGGCCCCAGGAGGCAGCGTGTGCCATCAGCAAGGATGCTAGCATGGCTCTCTCAGCAACTCACTGGGCCTGCGCATGGCAGTGCTGGTGCTGAGCAGGTGCATGCAGTGCCTGGTACAAGGGCATGACATGGGACAGACAGGTGCATGGCACTTTTGTGCCTGGGACTAGCGGCAGGGCCCAGCCAGACTGCTGTCCAGCTGGAGCAGGACCTGGTGGCCGGAGCCTGGCTGCAGGTGGCTTAGGTTGCTGCTGGGCTTAGCAGCTGACTGTAGTGCCCAGTGCAACATGATGGCATGGCCCTGGCAGCCACAACCATGAGGCAGTGCCAGGGAGCAGCACCAGGGTCTGGACAGGCTGCCATGGCTGAACTGGGGCCTCTGCTATTAAACATAGTGACCAGAGGCTGGCTGCATGTGGCCCGGGGATCCAGTGTCTCAGCATCTCCATAGGCTTTTAAAGGCCAGGGGCTGGGGCAGGCAAAGAGCCTGGAGAAGCTCCCAGTCCTGTGACCCTGGTGGTGGGGCTAACTGGGAGTAATTTGCTCCCAGTCAGCATATACATGCATGCTATTGTGCAGTAACTACTTGGGAATTAATTTGCTACTTGTATTTACAGGTAGCAAATTAAGTCATGAGTAGTGCAATTTACTGTACAGTAAGCATCTGTGAGTATAGACACTGACACTTACTGTGCAGTAATTTGCTCTGCTACTCAGTAAAATGCCTCAGGAAGAGGCACCCACAGTGCATCTTCTTTATCTTTTTGTTCAATCTATTTGAGTCCATGAATAAAAGGATTTGTACAGACTATGCCTATACAGACTATGCTGATCCTACATGGGATGAAACAGCACCAGGACCTCTTATTATGTCTACATGAGATAATGCAGATTTATCCTAACCTGGACACACAGCACATTAACATGGTTATACTGCTTCCAGTACCAGATCTAGCTAGTTCAGAGCTCCAGACTCTTGCATAACACTGCACTGGGCTGGGATGAGAAGGACCCCTGGCTGGTATTGGGCAATGAGTACTGCATTTCATTATTATTCTCCCACATTGGTAGAATTTGTAGCAGGTCAATTCAGCCTGAGATACCAACTTCCATCTGCTAGGACTGTATTAAACAGAAAATGTGGCCCCATGACTTTTGAGAACACTCTACCCCACTGCTGCTCAACTCATGGGGCTCCTCACAAGTCTGGAAATTTGGCAGTCGGGGAGCAGTGGCAACATCAATTGCTGTAAGTACTGCCACTCCCCCACTGCCAAATTTCCAGACCCAATGGGACCCCTACAGGCCAAATGAAATGGCCACATACACCAGATCAGCCCAGGAAGCTCTTCAGCCAGATCTTGTGTGCAGAATTAGGCCAGCACACGGGAGTGTTCCATGGCTGGATCCAGCACTCTGGGCCAGGCTAATTATGGTTTCATAGTTGGTAGGGTTGGAAGGGACCTGAGCAGATCATCAAGTCCAACCCCCTGCCATGGCAGCAAAAAGTACTGGGGTCAAACAATCCCAGCAGGTTGTTCGTCTAGCCTCCTCTTAAAGACCCCCAAGGTAGGAGCCAGCACCACTTCTCTTGGAAGCTGGTTCCAGATCCTAGCCATCCTGACAGTGAAGTAGCACCTCCTGATGTCTAGTCTGAATCTCCCCTCCGCCAGCTTGTGACTGTTATTTCTTGTCACTCCTGGTAGTGCTCAGGGGAACAGGGACTCCCCCAGTACCTGCTGGTCCCCTCTGACTAGTTTGTAAATGGCCACTAGATCCCCCCTCAGCCTTCTCTTGTGGAGGCTGAACAGGTTCAGGTCCCTGAGCCTCTCTTCGTAGGGCCTGCCCTGCTACCCCCAATCATGCGAGTGGCCCTCCTCTGGACCCTCTCCATGTTGTCCACATCCCTCCTGAAGTGCAGCGCCCAGAATTGGATGCAGTACTCCAACTGCGGCCTGCCCAGTGTACCATAAAAGGGGAGTATCACCTCCTTGGACCTGCTCGAGATGCATCTGTGAATGCATGACAAGGTATGGTTGGCCTTCCTGACCGTGTCCCCACACTGTCGGGCCATGTTCATCTTGGCATCAATGATGACTCCAAGATCCTTTTCTGCCTCTGCACTGATGAGAAGGGAGTTCCCCAGCCTGTAGATATGGTGCTGGTTCTTCCTTCCCAGGTGCAATACCTTGCACTTGTCAGTGTTGAAACCCATCCTGTTCTTGTCCGCCCACCCCTGTAACCTGTCTAGGTCTGATTGCAGCCTATTCCTCCCTTCTAGCATGCCCACATCCCCCCACATATTACGGTCATCTGCAAATTTGAACAGCGTGCTTTTTACCCCCTCGTCCAAGTTGCTGATGAAGATGTTGAACAGTGTGGGCCCGAGGACCGAGCCCTGGGGGACCACACTGCCCACATCCCTCCAGATCAAATAGGACCCATCCACCACCACTCTCCGGGTGCAGCCCTCCAGCCAGTTAGTGACCCATTTGACTGTGTAGGCGTCAACATCACAGTCCCCCAGTTTTTTAATGAGAATGGGGTAAGAGAGTGTCAAAGGCCTTCCTAAAGTCCAGAAAGACTACGTCCACTGCTACCCCTGTGTCTAAGGATTTTGTGACCTGGTTATAGAAGGCCACCAGGTTGGTCTGACAGGACGTGCCTCTAATGAACCCATTGTTGCCCCTAAACATAACCTCCCCTGCTGGCCCCTCATGGACATGCGCCAGGATAATTCTCTCAATAAAAATTAAGTGGACCCAGCTAATGAAGTTAAGGCAGGGCATCATACTACCCAGGGCATGCTGTTTACGGTACCCTACTGAGCTCACTGCTACTACACTGTGCAGATAGACAGACATTCCCCAAGATGTCTGAAGAAGGAAAAGATAATTTATCAATTAACATTCACGATAACATCTACTCAACAGAGTGCCAATCTGAGCAGGCAAATTCTAGGAAAATGAAGTTATTTTAATCTGCTCATTAAAGGTTAGAAAATGTGAATATCTGAATGTATTTAAGTATAATTTGGCCATGGCAGTGTTAATTTTGCCTCTCCTTTATAAAGAAGTCAACTAATTGATTTCTGAAGGATATGTTTGCCATAGACAAGTTTAAAAATGTATGTGAAAATGATAAGCTAATACATAAACACAAAAGTCTATCTAACTACTATAAGTAATAGTCACTTTGTTTACGTCACTTCTTTCCTTTGATACTCATTCTGACCTAAATATGTTAAATCCAAATGAAAACATCTGGCTTCGAGGGATGACAGATATTGTAGTGATATCACTGTATGGGGACTGAAATGATGGTTTTGCTCCTGAGCTTGGTGCAGCTTAGAAATGTTTCTTCATTCCTTCATGACCAACAGTTTCTCATGAAAATACCTCTTGAGAATGCTTACCTTGCTGTTTCTCTCCACTCAGCATCCTCTCCTTCACGCCAGCAAATTTCATCAAGCTCCGTAAAGAGGTCATGAGGAATATGTTCTTCATCATCATCCTCTGTTCCAAGAATAAACTGTACCCTCTGTGATGGGGTGTCTGAGAACGAAACATATATCATCAAAAACCATAACAAGCACAAACTGGAACAGTGTTTTTTATTCCCTGAATAAGCAAATTACAAATTTCATGAAATTATTTGGCTCTACTTTATCTATGTATTTTAATTTTACAACAGGTGTTGTAATACATGAAACAGCTCAGTGCCTCGTCAGCTCAGTCACACTTTAGCTCATGCTCTTACAACAATGCACATAGCACCTTAAGATTAAATTATTTTTATTCCACAATTACTCATGATTTATTAAATAAATGCATTTCACAAAATAGAATATTTTTATAGGGTGCAGCATACGGATATTTATAAACATCATTATAAGGATGTCTCATTCAATGTGATAAAATGGCAGCACAAGTTGTCTGATTTTAATGAGTCAGACAACTCAGCTCACAAAGCTGGTATACTGAGTCTGCACTAACTGTTGCAGTAAGTTTATATCAAAAGGTCCCAAAAGAAAAGTACTTTCCTGGATTTTAAATCCATAGGGAAGTTAAGGATTACATAAATTACTTACATAAATTATCCTGCTGAAATTGTATAACTAATTAGACAGAAACAGCCTGGCTATAGTAAGTACAATTGGTACCCTTCTTTACTATTTCTTTTGAGCCTCTTTCCCTCCTCTCTCTTCACACACCTACTACATTTTTTCTTTTTTCTTTCCCCCACAATCTTCTCCCCACTATCCCTGCCCCCAAGCTGCTCCCCAATATCATAAACATAGTGCTTTTCCCATAAGGCTGTTTATTTGAAATATCAAAGGACCGCCCCCCCTCCACAGCAACTGGAGCACATTTGTGTATACTTTAGTTCTATTGGGTCAAATGTTGCAACAATCTTTCAACCTTCTTGTTCATTAAAATCCAAATTTTAAACCATAAAACCTAAGATGGAATTTCATACCTTCAGAAATGTTTGTGTTAGGGTGACAGTATTTGGATCTTGGAGAGCATTGGATTTGCAGCTGAATAAAGGGATATAACCTGTGGCCTATCAAACTGCTAACCACAAGGCAGAATGGTATGTTAAAAGTAACATTGCAAGACACTTAGGCAAGCATTTTCCTAACAATATAGTATTGTTATAAGATATATAGCTCATTGTGTAAGAAAAACAGGATGCAGACCACCAGCTATCGTTAGGAGATAAAACAGAAGAAAGACCTTGGAGATGGTGAGGAAATCAGCAAGAGACTGCAAGTGACCGAGAGAAGCAGGGGTCAGGGTCTTAGGCATGCGCTTATAGCAAAAAGACATGTAAATAAGTGAAATGCATAGGTAATTCCATGCTAATAAAATAAACAGTAAACAGAGGTGGAGCTTAAGATGGGAAGGAATAAGGGTGGAACAAAGGAAGGACAAAAGTGGGGTAAATGCTAATAAACATAAACCAAGGTGTATAAATATGGAATGAACTAATGTTAGTGGCTGCTCCCCAGTTTGTTGGAGCTTGCCCAAAGCTGCCTCCATTTTGAACAAAGCCGTTGGAAGAAGCAATGCATGCAGTGACCCATTGTCTCCCCAGTCGTTAGGCGTAGCATAGAGCATCTAACAGTGTGGTTACTGTTTTTTCCCTGTGAGAACAACTAAGAATCCTTTATTGTTGCCTTTAGAGACCATGCTGTCAGTCAACTGAAAAACGGAATAGCACAAAGTAACTCAATGGTGCCTGGGACATTGTGTGAATTAAATGCTATTTTACCACTTTATTCCAGGATTAAGCAACACTGGCTCCCCAGCCTTAAGGAGCATCATCACTTAGCCTACTTTTATATCCTATGAAAATTGGAAGCTTCCAATTACATGGCACTCAACCTGTATTAAACAGCACAGAGAATAAAGTGATGATCAAAAATAGTGAAACAGGTTTAGCGGTGTGGCTCAATTCAGCAATAGAAACATCTATTTCTTTACCACTCCAGTTGCAGCTGCCAAATATTGAGTACCAAAAGGCATGCCACTTCTTACCAGCATGAATTCCCCAAAGTGTGACCAGGAAGCAGACGGATGGAGTAGGGTGAAATCCAGTGAGTTTTGGGCTAGGGACAGAAGCTACCCATAAACCAGTTACGTGTAGTTACCCACCCCTGTCTTAGTGGGCTGCAGAATGTCTGAAGGAACTTCTATCATTCTGTCCCTGCTTCTCATTTCCTTCCATCTTTTTCCTTCCTGTTTCAGCCCTTGCAGTCCTATTTAGTTTCTCAAGCCTTCCCTTTCCCTCAAACCCTTTCACTATTTTTGCCAATTCCTGTTCCCATTTTCCTCCTCCTCACAGTCTGAATATTTGCATTACTTCTATTCCCCACATCTCCCTTTCAAGAGTAGCATCCTCTTCCTTTGCCTAGATATTAGGGCTGTGCAAAGTTTTGGTTGCTGATTTTATTTGGCAAAGATTCAGCCCAATTTGGCAGCCAACTCTCTAAGATCCTTTAATCTGTCCAAATAGAAATGGAACCCTCCAAACTGATTTGGAGAGATTCAATGATTTGGACATAAACACAGCTTTAAATGTTTTTTCTATATACCTCAAGGTACCAGGTGGCTAATGAATGCTGAGATGCTGGGGTGGATGGAATGTCCCATGCGAGTGCATGTGGGTCCCCAGCATGTTCGGCGGCAGACCCAGAAGTGGACCAGAAGCACTTCCAGTCCAGTTCCACCATGGAGTGTGCGCTGGGGGGGCATCTGTGGTCCCCCCGCACCCGATCGCCAAGCTGGGAGAGTGCAGGGGGGGTCTGCCACCGAGCATGCAGGGGATCCCCCACCCACACTCCTGTGGATTTGGAGATTCGGCCACCAAATTGGGCTGAATCCATCCACCCCACCATCACAGCATTCACCAGCTGTGCCTGGTACCTTGATGTATGGAGAAAAAAATATTTAAAGCTGAGTCTATGGTCGAACCGCTGATTCTCTGAATCAGCATCGAATCTTCAGATTTGGATTTGGCCAAGTCGAATTGGGACCATGATCCAAATCAACTAATTGAATCTCTGTCCCCAATTCAGGCTGAATCCGAATTGAATGCGACCCATTTTGCACACCCCTCCTAGATATGCCTGGCTCGGCTCCCACAGGGAGAATAGCAAGAGCAGAATAGGCATGCCTCCTTTTCTCCCCCTTCTGCCTTAAGAATCATGATGAGAAAAAAGGGAGGCAATCCTTGCAGCCCCACTGAATATACTGGTAAGTCATCCAAGAGTTGTCAGAAATGACAGCATTTTCCAGGAAACTGTGTAAGGACTCTTCTCAGGTTTAATACAGTATTGGGACAAATGGGCAGGCTCACAGTGACTGTACATAGATGGGGGAGGCAGTTGTATATACATTATTGTATCACCTCTCTCAGACATTTCCAAGAAAAAAAACAAACAAATAGCTCTAGTTTTTAAGAGGACCAATGTGGACTGCCAGGGAGTGGAAGGGTGAATCGTAATGGATCTCAGAGCCTGCACGAAGAAGCATGAAAATAAGCCTGGCCTGCTTCCAAGCTACAGGCTTTGGTAGCTGGATCCATATGCTGTGTGGGGAAAAGATGATCAGGAGTCCAGTTTATCAGGTGTCTGATATTTACCACTTGGCTAACTCTTCCTTTGTGAGTGGAAAATGGCCACACTCACTGTGAAAACTGCCTTCATCAATACAATCAGGAATGTGAAGATGGTAAGATTTTCCTTCTGTAAATTGCCATGCATTACACCACATGTTTGTGTTGAATATTGTACTATATTGAATGGTAAATACAGTGAAGTATTAAAAATAGCTCATTTTTGTAAAACCCATATAGATGCAGCGTGATTAAAATCCTCCACTATTCTTATGTTTAGCACATTGCAGAATCCAACAGTTGCTGCCAAATGTATTTCTGAATTATATACAACTCTGATTTCTGGTTAGCTGAAATTGTCAGCTGTATTATTCAGCATATGCCACATGCAATACCTCTATTTATTCATGACCATTTACATTATCACCAAAAATATAAAATACGTCTTCACAGAATCTGGAAAGTCTAACAAGGATACTAAAAATTTGGGCCACTCTATATCTGAGGGATGACTTGCCAGAACCCAGGAAGCTATGTCTACTTGGCCCTTAACTATGTATATGTATACATTCTAAAACAAATCAAACAAACTCCAATAGCGCTTCCGTTTTCTGTGACAGAGGAACAGTGTTTGATTTGGGGTTTATTTAATAGGTCAATGTTGATTAGTAGTAAAATTATGCATTTAACTTTCTTTTTAGTGGTAGTAGCTGGGAAACCACAGCTTGGAAAGCCAGAGAATGCTTCTGTTCTGTGTACCAGGCAGAGCTGGTCTAGAGCAAGGGAACACAGGTCAAAAGCTAATATATTCTACAAGAGTATGCTACAGGCAAATATAATAGGGAGATTAATCATCTAGTGGGACTATTTAATTTGAAACCAGACAGCACGTTGTAAACAAGAATAAGTAGGCACTAGCTATGATAATCTCATGACAGAAATAAACTATGTGACATATGAGCTTACAAAGGTAATGTGTATGTATTTATGTGACTATAGGGAAAAGCATGGAATGCAGGTTTGGATTTTTTAAAAAAGAAATGTACTCTACGAGAATCCCGGAACATTTAGTGCCAAAAACATCCAATGCTCTTGATAAAATTACTACTAGAAACTGTCTTACAGCAACAGTTACTGTCAAGTGATACTGAACACTGTTACACAAGAGAACTCCACTTTTTTATATTAGTCAGAGAAATCATACATGGAAGAAGAGAATCAGTAGATCATAAAAATACCTTAAAGTGTAGATTAATGTAAAAAAGTAGCTGTAAAAATGGCACCTTATTGCTGTATTTGATGTGCTCCTACTTTGTCTTCAGAGTCAACTTACTGACAGCAGTGAAAAACCAATAGAGATGAGGGAGAGGCAACTGTACTCTCTTCTTCCTCATAAATATATCAAGAAAAAAAACTTATGTTATAATTCTTC